CGACGGGTGTAGTTGCGTTTTATCAGCGGGTTGAGTCTGGCCGGGTGTTGAAGAAGAGAAGAAAGAGAGGAAGAGGAAGGAGAAAGGGGAGGAAAACCCCGCCTCGGGCTGTGCAAATGGAGGGTGTGAGAAAGGGAGATCGTTCTCCCTTATGTTGTTTATGGAGTAGAAGATGGAGTGGCTGGATGCGGAAGGGAGAAGGCATGTCTCCTGGGTTTAAGCAAGCGGCAGAGGCGATGAATGGGAGCGCTTCTCTCTCCGCGCGAAGAGAAAAGGAGAAGAAGAAGAAGGGGAGCATCGTAGGGAGCCTAGTGTTGTGCCAGTGAAGCTCCGGGGTGGCGAGTGTCGTCCGCTATGCGCCGCCGAAAACCGGCAAAGTGGTGGTCGGGTTTTGTGTGAAGGTTGAGTCGTGACCGTCGTTTGTGGCAGAGGTGAGTGTCCATGGGTTCTGTGTTCAGAGGAGAGACCCTGGGTCTTTGACGCTTGCTTACGCAAAATGAAATGAGGCTGGTAGAAACCCCTGAATGGGTTTCTGGTTGGAATGAGAGGCTTTGGGATGAAACCTCATTCCGTTTCTGCAAACAAAAAAAAAGAGGACCGGGAATTGGGCCCATTTCGGGTGCACCTCCAAATTTCATCTTTACACTCCCAGCCAAATATAAAGTTGGGAGAAAAAGGGCTTTGGCCCCAAAACTAAAGAGCCTCAATGTACTCGAACCTTTGGTTTTCATCTCTAAAGCCATATTCTTATTGATTTTATGTTGTACTTTTATTTTTGTGTTTTTGGTTTTACTATTTGTTTTGTATTAGCGTTTTATTGTATGTAACCCTTGTATGATGACCCCATCCCTTTTCTTATTTGTGCTTATTTTATATATTGAACTTGTTTGTTTACATAAAAATTAGAAAGATAAACTAAAAAAGATGCAATGTTTTAAAACTTACAAAAAAAAGATTTCTAATTTTTTTTTTAAAAAAAGAGGAAGGATATGATGTTGCTCGTGCGATCGCGCCTCAGCCTGAGTACTCGATACTTTCAAGTATTTCTAAATAATAAAATACCGGTATGAGCAAAAATCGTGTGATCGGTCACATCGTCCTAGTTGCTTAATATCGTTCTTTCTCCTTCTTAAAAAAAATAATACAAAAATATTAAATATCGTTTTAAAAGTTTAAGCACATGTGTGATCGTTCGCATCGTCCTTGTGCTAAAAACCTTTTCTCTTTCTTTTATAAAAAATACCAAAAAAATATTTTAAAGGTTAAACACATGTGTGATCGCTCACATTGTCCTTGTGCTAAAAACTTTTTCTCTTTCTTTCATAAAAAAATAACAAAAAATATTTTAAAGGTTAAGCACACGTGTGATCGCTCGCATCGTCCTTGTGCTGAAAATCTTTTCTCTTTCTTTCATAAAAAATAACAAAATCTCATTTTCGTAGACCATGCCTATCATTTTATGGTTTTTCCGTAGTTTTTCAGAATAAACTATGGTGGCAACTCCAAGTCTCTTTTTTTCAAACCCATTCTTTTTTGGATCGTCGTCCCGTCGCGATTCCGGTTGCGACATACATAAATAATTTTGTTTACATCTATAAAACATCTCTCTCAACATCTTTAACTCTTACAAAAAAAGATTACTCAATAAAAAAGAAAATCATGACAGTGTGTCCTGTATCCGTAATACTTTATATTAATCAATCAAATGTACTAACTCACTGCATGCATCCAATCCTATACATAGCTGATAACTCATGCATGCATGCAATCCTATACATAGCTCATGCTGGCAATGAAAAGTAGTACTTGCCTACTTCAAACCGTAACAACTTCCATGTCCAAACTGAACTTCAAACTTCAAATTTCATTATATATATCATTCCTTCACCAATCCATCTTCACAGCCAAATTTGACACTCAAGAAATCTCATCTTACTCCAATCTTTCTTTTTCTCGTGAACATTTATTTCGTAACGGCATCGTGGAACTTTGGAACATCTTCATCATCGCAAATCATCGACGAACAACCTTTGATATTAGATAATGTTGATGAATTCATCAAAGATGATGAATTGGATAACATACTTGACGATGAACACAATGACGACGACCACATGACACAATCATCTCAACATGTCATCCCAGAGCTGCATGACAATATGCAATTGCAGTTAAAGGAGGAAACTATTGCGCAATCAAACAATATCACATCACCAACGGTTACAAATACAACGTTGTTGAATCGAAGCCTAACATTTATGTTATTCGATGTCTGGAATACCACAACGACTGTCAATGGTGTTTGAGGGCAACCTATAGCAAAGTTCGTAAATATTGAGAAATCAAGAATATCGACGGACAACATACGTGTTTCTCAAACATACTATCTCAAGATCATACAAATCTTGATAGTACTCACATTGTCGCAATCGTATCAAATTTTGTCTGCACAAACCCCTCCATTCCCATCAAGAGTTTGATTGCAGATATTAAAGCTCGATTCAGATATTATGTGTCATACAGAAAAGCTTGGATCGCAAAACAGAAGGCTCTTGCTATGGAGTTTGGGGACTGGGAAGAGTCTTATAACCATCTGCCAAGGTGGTTGCATGCCGTGAAGGATGCAAATCCTGGTACAATTTTACAATGCACTACTTCTCTTGTGGAGATTGATGGAGAAACTGACAATAATTGCTACATTAAGGAAAGAGTTTTCTGGTCTTTCGGTCCTTGCATAGAAGGATTCAAATATTGTAAACACATTCTCCAAGTTTATGGAACATTTCTATCAGGCAAATATCATGGAACTTTGCTCACTGCCATAACTCAGGATGGCAATATAAATCTTTTTCCATTGGCATTTGCCATTGTAGAAGGTGAGACAAAGGAGGCCATGATATGGTTCTTTCAACTACTGCGAGAACATGTTTGCCCTCAACAAAATATTTGCATCATCACTAACAGAGGAAAGGGTATCCTATCGGCCTTAAGATCAGAAGAAGTTGGTTGGGAAGAAGATGGTTTCAACTCTGTTTATTGCATACGTCATCTAGCCTCCAACTTCAACAATAAATTCAAAAATCAGGACCTCAAAAAACAATTCATCAATTTAGGTACTACTACAAATTTTTTTACTACCAATTTACTGTTTATATTTTGATAACATAATTGTACAAATTTTTTATTTATTACGTCCTTACAGCTTACGAGGTCAAGCAACCCATTGTCACGACAAAGTTTACTACACTAAGAGACCAATACCCACAACAAGTTGATTGGATAGATAAAATAATATAAAAAAAATGTAATCCAATCAATAATTAATAAATAACTATTAATATTTCTTATTAATATTTCATATAAATTTTGTTTTATTCTTTTATTAAGTTTTTCTCCATTCATTAAATTATAATGACAATTTCTTTCTTTTCTCTAACACAAACAACAAAAGAAAAATGTATACAAAATAAAAATTTCATTCAACACCCAAACACTCTGGTAGTCGATTACAACAATGTTGCAATCGCTTACCAGGGAGTTTTTGCTCGCTGAACACTCTGGTAATCGATTACAACCCAGGAAGTTTATCCACACTGAAAAGTGTAATCGATTACCACTATCAATTTTGCCTACAAAGGTGAAGTCGTGCAAGGGACACGACTTTAGCACGTTGTAATCGATTACAGTACTCGGTAATCGATTACAACACTATGAAGTCATTTTTGGAATGCACGACTTCAACACTGGTCAAATAAACAATATGAAGTCGTGCAGGGGGACACAACTTCTTCATTAGAAATCGTTCAAGCCCCTACGACTCCTCATTTTCGTATTTTGAAAAGAATTTGCCTATTTACGTATAGGATGCAAATTTGTCTAGTTTGATACATTTACCTATAAATGACAATTTTAATAACAAATAAGTGTATATTTAATACTTAATAATATTTACAATATAAAAAAATTATAATTACTTTTTATTTATAAGCACAAATTATATAAACTTATATATCTAAATAAATATGAAAATGAATGTTTTTTCTTTAAGAAATGGTTCAGATTTCCTATTAAATACTAATTTCTAAAGGTGATAAACTAGTATAACTATAATCTCACATATTTAATAAGATTATTTCAGTCAAGAAAAAACTTAAACAATACGAAAATTAAATAATATTAGGAAGATATTTTTAAATAATCATTTTATTCAACTATATCAAAAAATATCAAATTATAATATTTATTAATTTGTTTTAATAAAAAAAATTAAATACTTTTAGATCTCGACAACAATTAATAACAAATATTCAATTTTAAATAACAAATATTATCTATATTTAGTAGTATGTAAAAACTAAATTGAAAATACTCAATTTTGTAAAGAATTTATAATTTAATGAAGTTATTTTTATTTTTCATATAAAAAAATAAGTAATTACAATGCAAAAATATAAATTATGTCATCCAATTTAACAATAGTACAAATTTAATTGAAAAATATAAATTTTCTAAATATATAATTAAAAATACCCAAATTTATATACATTTTAAATCTTAATTAAACAAACTCACGTTGGGTCTTTCTAATAAAATATCTTATTACTTATAGGTACACTTTCTATATCTAAAACATTCCGTTGCCTTCCACTGCAGACCTGTTAAGGATTATAGATTAGTAAAAATATTAACCCTAGCCTTTAGATGTCCAAAGTAACATTACAAAATTATTAACCGAAACGATACAAAGACAAAAGTTTATAAGAACTTCTTAATGTTGAATTCAAATTTTCAGTACTCCCCATAACACCCTCAAGACCACAAAACCTCAGGAACAGAATAACACTAAACCTTTAAAATAGAAACCAAGCAGATTTAAAATAACGTTATAGAATGCAGAACAGAAGTGACACACAAATAGGTACGATATTGATATATATAAACCCTAAAAAATCGAACAAATAAAGGGGACACGACAAGTTTAACAAATGGAACAATCAATATGATCAATATGAGCCACTAAATAATTACAATTACAAAATTACAATTACAAAATTGGATCCTAACTGAGTACAGTGTGCTTCTCTATCATACAAAAATGAGCTAATAGATATATGAAACTTCATTTTAGTTTAATGAAGAACCAAGCCGGACAAACCAATTTTGTCCTCCTAAGAATTTTGAAGGATTTACTGCTATTTAAAAAATAATGGATATAGACAATTGTCACAATAAGCAATTGTTGATTTTATTCTTGTAATCAATATCTTCACTGCAAAACCATTCCTAATGTATAGTTGCCAACGGTCAGCCATGTCAATAAGATTAATTACCATGCAAGAAATTTCTTCACTCCAAATGCAAACTTTTTTTCGTACTCTCATAAACCAAGTAGGTGAAACTTGCTGAGGGTACAACCTTGAGTAAGGTAGGAAATATTCCTTTGTAGAATCCCTTAAAGCCTTCATTTTTATAGGTTTTCCTGAATACATCACCCATTCCCTTATAAGAGCGTTGAGCCTGCATTCTGAAATCGACATGGGTTTCATTTTTAATTTCCGTAGAAAGCAATAAGTGTTGAAGTCACTACATATTTAAGCAACAATTTACATAGAAAGCAACAACACATAACCGCCAAGATTACCTTGTTCTAACCACCTGTAGTGGGTAAACGCACGTTGCTCCAACAGCCCCGGATACAGTCCCACATCCCAATTGCACTAGAGGGCCAGGTTCTACAGAATGCCATAAAATCTAAATACAAAAATTGAAGGCAATAACTGATACGGAACATCACAGGTGAATCAGTTTTTTATTTTACCTCCATCACGAATAATATACTGCTTGGACATATCCTTCAAGGTTTCATACGCAGCGAGATCTATACCAGCATAAGGGATAATCCCAAGAAGAGAAGGAACCAATCCCCTGTAAAATGCTCGGGGTCCCTCCTGAAGCCAAATTTCTTTTGAAAGGGTTCCAAGACTAGGAATTCGTCTGCTTTCACAAGCATAGGTTTGCAGTCGCGTTTTAACAAGATCCATGGGATATATTACAGTTTGAGCTATAGCACCAGCAATACCACCAGCTAATAGCCGCCCCATAGGTCCAATATTAGCCTGTGTCTCTTCCCCTTTGGCCCTTACAATAAAGGTCTTCAACATCTCATAGCTATAAAATCTAATGGCACTCTCAGGGGCAACCTTTAGAACATTTAAGCCATTCCCTCGAAAAAATCCTAATAAACCACCTTCTCTCCATATAGCTTTTATCGCAGGCATTATCTGAGCTCGTGTTGTTTGGACTTGCATTACAACCTTTAGACGATCAAGTGGTGCAGTTGCTGTGCGTGATGTAGCACCTGCTACTCCTCCTGCAATCAGATACCTACTGGCATGAATGTGCTTACTAATGCCTGCTGGAATAACAGACTGTTCCCCAATATCAACCATACATAGCCGCTCCAAATAATGGTAAATGTTCTCGATAGTTGCCTCGTGAGGGTAAAGCAGCAGAAAATCCCTCCATTCTTCAAATGTTATAACACCATTATTATCCTTATCAACATGCTCAACAAAACGGGCAAGTTCCTCATCATCAATCTTTATCCCTACAATAGAATGACCAGCGTAACTTATTGAATGAAATACATCACAGAATTAATAACATCTTAGTCACACAACAATAGTGCACTAAATAATTACAGACCAGCAATCCAAATTCAACTTACGCAATCAGATACCGAGGGCTTATATTGTGTTAATTTGTCGGTAAAATAACAAGGGAAAATTTAGTTTGGAATGAAGTTGAACTTCGATTTATGTTACTGTACTCAGTTATAACTATCGATCAAAACAACCTAAAATCAGATAAATCAGTAGTCAATAAGGCTACATGCAAGGGAAAGGTTGTTTTAATAGGTGATTTTCATTTTCCTTTTCCATTCAACTTTCTACAAGGCAACCAAAGCCTAGGCGAGCAAACCTTGCAGTTAAATTGCATTCATTACGAAGAGATGTTCCAAAATGTTCAACAATCTCCTCACTACAATAAAAATGTAATTAGGGTCTGGTAAAGACTTGAGACTTGAGATTAACAATACTTGTCACCACTAATTTAAACCGTCAAACAAGTCAAACCATGGCAATCAAACTTTTCATAAGGAGCACGTAATATCCTCTATCAGATTTTTATTATTATTTTAATGTCACTATTCTTTTAAGGTATCAGATTTTTATTTATTTAAAAAATAACAAATATTAGATTTTTCTTTTTGTTTTCAATATAATGAATGTTTTCCCCTTCAGTAAATACCATACCTTTGTTAAAATCCTCCTTCGTTTGATAAACTTATAAATCATTATACTGACCTCCACTAAAGTAAACTAATTTGATCATATTACTAATTAATAAGGAATCTCCAACGCAAGACCCTCGTACTTCGAACAAATCACTAATAAACTCTGGTATTATCTTAGTATTTGAGTTTAAGTCCAACTAAAACTCAAGCTAGCACGTAAACTAGTGAGAATAACCTGTACTTTTTACATTATTTTTTTTTTTGGTCATGTCAGTGGTGGACATGGATTTCAACAAAAAATTACACAACACAATTCTATGTCAAACTAACCTACAAACAAAATCAAACACAAGACAACCGAAACACTCAAACATCAACAAAATCACGAGTTAATTTGCAATAAAATGAAACAAAGAAACATGCCTGCTTTTACGAGAGCCTCCCAAAGCTCCTCCGGCAAAATGCAGCCATTGTGTGCTACATCGATGGCCTGAAAAATGCTGTAAATCTCCAACTCCTTGTCGTCCATGTACCTCCTGAACTCTTGGAAATCCACTCTCCCATCATTGTTCGCATCGCAAGCGTTCAACAAATCCTTCGCGTACTTGTACTCCGACGGAATCTGAAGCGCCGAGAGACCCGCCTCGATGAGCGCGTAGTCCAAGAACCCGCGATTCTCTCTGTCGAAGAATTCGAAGAGGTTCCGAATCCGCACCTCACGCGCCTCCTTCGTCTCCTGCGACGCCAGAAGCACGTGATCCAACGTCACAGGTGACGCCTTCTTCATCCCAATTCTGAAGTGAGAAAGAGAAAAAACACAACAATGAGTGATTTTGAATGTGGAAAACGGAAAGGAGGGAATTTGATTTAATAGGGATCGAATGAACGAGAGAATAAGAGCATGCGTGCGTTTTGCTTTAACCTTGGAAAGGGATTAACGCGGAAACGACCGTGGAGGACGTAAACGACGGACAGAGACTCTTCTCGTTTCAGAAATTACGTTTTCATGAGTGATATTGCAACCGGCGGCAATGAGTCGGGTCGCCGGCGATGTTGCCCGATACGTGGAAAAACACGCGCATCGTCATCGCCAAAAGTGCTTATGCTTCTTCGTGAATAGTTATTAAACACAAATAAAAAACAATAAATAAGTTAATAGTTTTTAGGATGTGATTCCGGAATCGGACAGGGTGAGATGCAGAAAAATTTGAAGTGCTGAGGGTTTCTTTTTTTTTTTTTTGTTATTATTATTATTCTTATTTTCTATGTTTCCAGATTTTTCTTATTTACTTTTTAATTTTATTTAACTTTGCCTTTGGTTTTGGCACGTTTGGTGGTTGCGCGTTGTACACATGGTCGGTGGCGATTTTTGCAGCCTAACATAATCATGGTACTTTTTGTTGTGTATTTAAAATTTTGAGTTAAACATATTTTTAGTTTTTTAATTTTAATATAAATTTATTTATTTTATGAAAATTTGATATAAGTTGAATTTAAATTTTAAAAATAAATTAATATAATTTTTTTAATTAAATTGCGTCACGTTTTCGTGTGTGTCAAATATTACATTTTTGATACGTTTCCCTTTTAGTATTAATTGAAAAACATGTTTAATACAAATAAAAATTAATATAATTAAAGTAAAAATATTATATTCATCTATTTTTAAAATTTTGAAAATTAAAATATATTAAAATTTTGAATAAAAAATAAATTCTAATTGTGTACCAAAATTTATAAACTAAAAACATACACTTGTAAAAAGTATTTAAAAATAACCTATTATTTATTTTAATTTCTCATTCGTGTCATTGTACTTTTAGAAGTTAAAAGTAAAAATATAAATTATACTTGTTTCTTTTTATTTGTTTTATTTATTTCCATATTCCTGCCAAAGAAAAAACTCTTTAACTGTTTTAAAATATTAAATTCACATTTTTTTACTTATTTAGAAAACATTAGATCATATAACCGTGTAATAAAAAGAGCATAATGTCTGTAGTTAACTAAAATACCGATAAATAATTATTTTAAAATTTTCATTTTCAAAGACATATCATTCTTTATTTTGAAGATTAAAATGGGGTTTCCTTATGAAAAGAACTATCATGCGATTTTTTCTGTAATAGTACTGTTCCACATTTTATTTACCCGGATAGGAGGCTTATATTTACAAAGTAGCACGGTTTTCAAAATAAGTAAGAATTTAATCTATAAAAAGATGAATTCTTTAAGGTAGTTTTTAAGATGAATTCTTTAAGGTAGTTTTGCTATGCGTTGGAATATCGAGAGTTACTTACCATCACATCCTTCTACCCGTAATTTTTCATTCCTCTTTTGCTATGTAAAATATTTAATTCTTGATAGTTAAAATATATTTATTTTAAATGATATCAATATCCGTTGAACACTTCAACCGATATCAAAATTAATCAACAAATATCTTAAAGAATTTTTCACATTCGTGAAGCCTTTCAACATTTTACTTTATTTTTTAACAAATTTTTTATACATCAATAATAATACAAAAATTATTAAATTGCAAACAATCTACTTACGATGTTCAAATAATAAAAGCTATAAAAAAATAAATTAATAAACTAAAACCCAAACAAAAAAAATTAAAATAGTTGAAATGCGAAAGTTTCAACGGATGTGGAAAATTCATTCAGCCTTCAACAGATCTCAAAATCCATCAACGGATCTTGAGATCCGTTGAAGACGGAACGAATTTCCAGCATTCGTTCAAGGGTTCGCGATTCTTTTCTTCTTCCTCTTACACAACACAACACACACATTCATTAAATTTATACACAACATAGAGAGTATATATATTCAAATCAACAACCAATCAACTAAAATTCCAAACTAACCACTAACCTAGATAGAAGACCAAATGAAACCAAGCACCAAAATAATGAAGCTTTAACAACAAAACTGTGGAAAAGAAGAAAGGAAGAGAGACAGGGAGGGGGTGGGGGCTGTAGATGAATGCATTAAGGTTTTAAAAAAGGTAAATGGTAAAAGTTAAAAAAAAATTAACCTAGGATATTTTTTGAATAAAAAAAATTGGGGAGAAGTTAGGGTGGTGGAGGAAGTAACCATTTGGAATATTAGTCAAAAAGTTGGGCTTCACATATACATCATACCATACATGTTTCAAGTAAAGGTATATTATGTACATAGTAGGAATCGAACACACGATCACCAGATAATAAAGAGCTCTAACCATTTGTAATATAATACTTATCTTTTATTACTTTAAATAACAAAACTGATGACTATCACTTTTTCTAGATATTTATTGTTCCTCTTTATGAGTTGTGGTCTAAGTCATTTATTTCATTGCTCTTTGTATGGATGTGTAGGGTAGTACATATTTATTTTGTATGGGATGCAGGTTTTTTCCTTCATTGCATGCCATTTATTTTCTTCATTAATGGTGTATATTTTTCCTTGTTATATGAGGTACAAATTTCAGTTTATTTATCTCTCATCATGTCTTTATTATGTGCAGTGCAACCATTGATTTCCTTTAAACTATCCATGTGGTGTTGTGATTTCGTAATGTTTGCTTCCATTCCACGGTATCCACTGCTTTTCTTTTAGGCAACTAGCAATTATCTAGGTTGTGCGGTGCATGTCTTTTGTCTCACGTTAGGGCCTCTCTTAATTCATCATGATGTGTGCTTTTCTTTTTTTTAAGACACGTATGTATTAACATCTATGATGGTGAAGTCGAACGTTGTTTGCCATAGGATAAAATTTAACGTCATTGAAAAAAAGGACCAAAACCAATGCTTTTGAAAGTACAACGACCAAATGTTATCAAATTTTGCCTGAGGACCATTTCCAATTTTATGTATTACTTTAGAGACCAAAAACATATTCATTAATGCAAAAAACACTTTTTATAACGACTGTTTATATCAGTTATAATTCATCAGGTATAAAAAGTGTCACAGTGGCATAATTATAAAAATGATAACATTTTTTATAACGATTGTAGTTATAACACTTATAGAAAGTGAAAACACATAAAAACACTAGAGGCTGTGAATAGTATTCTTGAAATTATTTCACAAAGCAACGTCTAATGGTTTGTAAAGGAGATATATAATTTTGTAAGATGTTTAGGTGTTGGTTTTTATAAGATGAATAGATGAAAAACGTTTTAAATAGAAAAGCAATAAACCACGAATTTTATACTAGTTCACTCAAGCTAAACTACATATAGTTCTTCCTTAAGAATTCTTGAGGGGTTTCATTAATCTTTAACAAGATTACACAAGTTTTACCTCTCCAGGTTTGTAATGATTATTCTCATCACTCTTGGTTCACTTAGTCAACAAGACTAGTCTGAGTTTAACCACTCATAGTTTATAAGTATTTTAACCACTTCTGGTCTTAACCCTAGACAACTCGTCTGGATAAGTGTTTTAATTATCTTCAGAATTTATAGCAAAAACAATGTTATGAGCAAAGGTACAAATGATAACTCTGAAAGAGAAGATATAAACAATATAAATAATTTTGTGATTTGCTAAGGTTTTTCTCTTAAAAGAAATATATCTTTAGACGATATATGAGCATAGTAAGCTTGTCTTAGCGTTCATGAGTTCACTATCTTATTCTTCTTATACTCTTCTTCTTGTGTTATCATTCTTGTCTTCTCTTCAAGCTTTTGTCTATATATAGCTTTTCTTGAAAGATGACCGTTAGATAAGGAAGTTGACTTAAGGAGAGCAGGTGACTTTTAGGTAGGAAGTCAGACTTTAGTCTACTTTGTAGCGGTTTAGATCTTTATCATAGCCTTTAGCAAAAATGAGCTTGTACGATGTGATAAAGTAGAAGGCTTCAAGAGAAACATTCCAAGAATGTTCTTCATCTTTCACAACGTCTTTTTCTCAAGTGTAGTGATTCTGATCATACCTTTTTACTTTAGTGATCTGTACAAATATCAAGAACAAAGTATACAAGCATCAAAACACTTTATCGTACATGCATTAAATATTTTGAACGATGATAAGTGTTAAACTATATTACGTGTTCAAAACATTTTATCATTTGTCATGTCATTCATAAATGCATTGTTTGGTAAAAGCATATAACATGTATAATCATTAGATGATTATATATATATATATATATATATATGTATGTATGTATGTATATATGTATGTATGTATGTATATATGTATGTATGTATGTATATATGCTTCTACAAAGGATATAGTGTTTAGTGGTCATACATTAAACGATGTAAATCATAAGACGCTTTGCTTTAGTTAACACTATATATAATAAAAAAAAAAGTTAGACTTAGTGTTATCAAGGAGATAAACTTTCTCTTTCATAAGACGCTAGATTGTTACTCATATAATCTATTAGATGATTTCAGAAAGAGATGTTTTCTTTTTCTTAAATGTTGTTCATAATATAAGTTCATCAAACAGTTCTTTCTAGAAAACATTATTCATAAGTTTCATTTCATTTAGAATAGATGTTACAAAATATTTTTTTCTTAGACATTATTTCTTTTAAACAACTTTTCATACATAACAATATTTCATTTGATGCTTTTTGTTAAACTTCAAAACTTGAGTTGTTTAAACAGTCTATTCTCTAGAGGATTTTGTCTTAACAAAAAGTGGGTGCGGAGACATTTTTGAAATAAAGAAGAAAACATTTTATCCAATTCTAGTTATAACTAGTATAGAAAGTGGATATAGTGACATTTTTGTAATACATGAAAAAAACTTTCTATACAAGTTCTAATTATAACCAATATAGAAAGTGGAAGCAGTGACATTTTTGTAATAAATAAGAAAATTTTTTATACTAGTTCTAATTATAACTGGTATAAAAGATGGTGACTGATTCACATGGCTTCTATTGGTGTTGTGTCAACTTGTGATGGTGGATTTAGGGTTTTGCGTTTTGAATTGTGACTGCGGTGTTGTATGTAGCTTTAATGTGCTGGTTGTGGTTTTTGTTCTTGCAGGTTGCAAAGGTAAATTTGCGGTGGTTCTGTAATTTTGTGCAACAAATTTTACGTTATTAATGACTTGTATCTAGTTCATGGTGGTGGGTTTGATTTTTCGCGATTAGTGTTTTTCATGGATCTTTGTTTTGCTATTGCGTGTAAGACAACCATAGTTCGTGAGGTTGCTA